ATTTTACTTATGGACCTAACAGAGAGCGAGTCCTGTTCTCAGTGAATCTCTTCTCCACTGAGGCACCTTAATTGTGTATTAGAGAGGACAAGCCAGGTAAACCAATCTGCTACAGGCCTGGCCTTTGGCCCCACTGCCAGCGTAGCACTGGGAAGAGTGAGGTCCAACATGCAGGGCTCCTTTCCTTGGGTTTCAGGGCTTCCTGAAGCTTGGGTCCAATTCACCTGAAGAGTGTTCAGTATAGTTTATTTCACATAGAATCTGGAGCAGATTCTCAGAGTGCTGTCACACACCTGAAATTCCATGCTGGGGAGGCAGAGGGAGGAGGATCAGGAGAAGTTCAGTACCAGCCTGTATACACAGCAAATTTCAGGCTACTCAGGGCAATATTGTAAGAGCTTTGCTCAAAGGGGAAAAATGGATCTGGAGCAGTATTTTGGCTTCTGTGTTCCAATAGAAGTGACTACAGCCCTAAGAACCAGAGAAGAGCTTGCTTGCATATAAGTGTGCAGTTCCTGTAGGACACACTTTGGGAGCCTCTAGCAGCTGGTGTCTAGCTGGTTCTGTCCAGAGCTTCTTCCTGATGGCCTGGTGGCAAAGGAGCAAAAGTTGGGTCTTGTCCCTTTTGCTGCCTACTGCCTGCAACTTCCGGTACAAGAGGTAGGCAAGGGATGCACTTCCGAATTTGGAAAGGAGAGTGAAATTCTTGCTTTGCTTCCAAGGATTTTTAAGTATACTCTGTCACGTCTCAGAGTATGGAGCAGACTTAGCTAGCTTGGGTTATGAACAGAAAAACTGAGCCCTGCTTGCATTTCTTATTTGGGGGCAACTGTATTATTTTTCTTTGGGTGTCTCCAAACTAGAAGCAGCCTTTCTTCGCAGTCTGCCCCCAATAAAGAGAAAGACGTTTTAAAAATATTTTTCTTATTCAGTGGTGTTGAGGTGTGGCCAGGTGGGGAGACACAGGCAGCCAACTCCTTAAGCAGCCCCATAAGCCTTCAGATACCACTCAGCTTGAGTGCCAGATGGAAGCTCTTGTCTATCTAATTTTAAGCTCTATTTCCTGTTAGTTTATTTTTTGGGCCCAGTAAACAACTTTTCTCTTCAGATTTCAAGGGGAATGTACGTAGAAGTGTTGAACAGTGGGCATTTGTTTAAACGTCAGGAACAAACTAAGTGCCCAGAAGTTGGGCAGGGCACTCAGAACGGGAACGAAGAAGAGGGAAGTTCAAGTAGGACAAAGCCAGGCTCCCATCAGGTATTACAGTGCTTCTTGTCTGTGCCTTGTTCCACTTACGACTTTTCAGTTACTTGCAGATGGTCACCCTGTGAACATGACATCACTTGTGCAAACAACAAGGACAGAAGTGCTGTGAGGAGTTTTTAAATGAGGAAACTTCCTCAAAGTTTAGAACTCATTTCTAATGTTCATATTTTATGGGTTGGACAACAGACAGTAGTTTTTATTCCTTGCCTATCTCCCCCGTTTTGTTTTGTTTTGTTTTTGAGACAGGGTCTCATTATGTAGAGCAGGCTGGTCTACAATTTAGCAGAAATCCACCTGCCTCTGCCTCCTAGGGACTGGGATTAAAGGTGTGTGTTACCACGCCTTTTAGTTTTTGCTTTGTAGTACAAGCCTCTGGTATATATAGAACTGAGTTGTTCCAGGACTAGTCATCCCAGAACTCACCATTGGTGGAACTGGGTACGGAAAGAAAGCTCATTAGTCCCCAGAGGACAGTTCTGTCATGTTGCAAAGGCCTTCAGTTTAGGGTCAGCATGGCATGTTTCAGAAATGGATAAATGGAGCATTTTTTTCCTATTACCCCAGAAGTAAATGACTTCTACTAGGAAGACAACTAGGAATATGGATAAGTGGTTAACAAATAAATCTTTAAATATTTAATTTTGCATATTTTACATAGATCTTGACTATTTTTGACACAAATCAAGGCCTAGTTCTTTTCTAAGTACACAACCAATGGCTCCAGCATGATTTATTAGACAATTTTTCCTTCTATCACCAATCAGAATCTGCCTTTATAATGTACTTCATGTATCTCAGAATTCTTTCTGTATCCTTACGGCCCTAACAGCAGTGTTTTAGTTTTAGGCTTTATCTTGCAAGTCTTCATTATTGGGGCACTCCCTCACAGAGGGGCATATGTGTACACCCTCTATTTCTCTTTTCATAGTGTTTGGTAATCCCATTTATTATTTCAAATAATTTCAAAAGATTTTAAATATCAGTGTTGGATTTTTGTGTAACACGACTATCTGCTATAATTAAGGTATTTGGCTTATCACCAATGAACATTAGTTGTCTATTCAATCTTTTATGACTTTCAATTAAGTTAAAATTTATCCATGTAATGTTAGAACATTTTAATTATGCATTTATATAGATACTTACTCTTTTGGCAATTATGAAGACTTGCCATTGCATTTTAAATTAGAGCATTTGGTATAAAGGATGCCATTGGTTTCCATATTATCTATGTGATTTTAGATTCAAGTCCCTTGGGAAACATTTATATCTTTTTTTTTTTTTTGGTTTTTTGAGACAAGGTTTCTCTGCATTGTTTTGGAGGCTGCCCTGGAACTTTCTCTGAAGACCAGCTGGCCTTGAACTCACAGAGATCCCCCTGCCTCTGCCTCCCAAGTGCTGGGATTAAAGGCGTGCACCACCAACGCCCAGCAACATTCATATCTTAAATAGTTCTCTAGTGTCTACAATCTCTAATTGAATAACCAGACCTACAAAAACCAATGACATTTTGAAATTGTTTCTGCTTCATTATTTAATTGCTCTTCAAAGAACCTTGGCTTTGGATTTCTTTTGGAAATGGCTGGAGTCTTTTTTTGTTTTTTAGTTGGTTTGTTTGTAGACGAGGTCTCTATATTGGTCCAGGAGCATTCCATCTCCTCATTGCCCTGCCTCTGCCTCTTGAGTGCTGGGATTGGTGAGTGCTGGGATTGGCTTGCCTCGCTCCTCTGACTAATGATTTTATGTTTTATTTTCATCATTTTAGTTCTGTTCCTCGAGTCACTCTTCTTGGATTCCGGGGCGCCCCATTCACTTCATTTTCTTGGTTCCTTTGTTCTTTTGCCTTTCACCATTCACAATAAGCGCCCTTCAGAATCTCTCATGGGGCCTTTTCTGCTGCTTCTCCTGGCTTTCAATAATGATCTCAGCACATTCAAGATCTCAAAATTCACTTGGGAACCACAGGTATACTGCAAGGTCCCGCTGAAGACTGGAAATCGGCATTTAAAAATTATAGTAAATAATCGACATGAAATTTCCCTTTTTAACCATCTCAAAACATACAGTTGGGTGAAAAGCAAATTTTATTATGCATTTGGTTATGGCCTAGACTTCAGAGAAGTGATACGATTTATTTTTTTTCAGGTAGAATGAAACCCAGGGTCTTTTTAATGTTTGGCAAGTAACTTCCCATTGAGTTACCTCCCTCAACTACCAAAGCATCTTTTTTTTTTTTTTGGATGTACTTTTAGTTGCTCCCATTTATTTTGGATATTTAAAATTAATATGTATAATATATATGCATATATTTTTTTTCTAGGCAGGATATTGCTGTGTAGCCTTGACTGGCCCCAAACTCAATCCATAGGTCAGTCTTGGTCTCTGCTTCTACCTCCAGAGTGCTGGGTGGTTTTGGCTTTGCACCACCACACCCAGGCCCCATTTTTTTCTTGAGCATTGACTGGGTGCTATCATCTTTACCCGGTTGTGTCTGTTTCTTTCTGCTCACTTACCAGTTCCAGGCCTCAGGCGAAAGTCACCAAGCTTCTTGGTCCCCCTTTCCCTCTTTATAATACCACCATCCCCAAGTACTAATTTTATCAAGCCGCTTTTCTGTTCAAAAGCTCAAGTGGTTCCCAGTAGCTCACAGCTCAATACAAACATCTAGTGTTGAAGGCTTTGTGAGTTACCTGAGCCTCTGCCTTGTGGCTGACCAGGTCCTCTCTCTCTTCCTTCACTGTGCCACAGCAGAAGTGACACACCAAGCAGAGTTGGATGGACAAGGGAGACACCTGTTACCATCTGGAGAAGGAAGAGGCAACATCTATGAAGCCCAGAGCAGAAATTTGGCCTTTCTGTTACCAGAGCCCTCAAATTTTCTCCTGAGAATTTTTTTTTTGTGAAAATGTCCCAATTTAAACTTGCCCAATGTAATTTTACAATTTTGAGAAACTTCCAGATAATTGAAAAACATGTTTGCTGACCAGTCCAAGCCATGGGGAGGGGAGTACAGTTGGAGACCTCTATTCTCTATTATTCCTGTTACCTTAGGTTTTCTGTGCCTACACATATGGGAGTCTTGCTTGGTTGGAAGTGAGGCACAACATTACAGTCTAAAGAAATGTTAAGCTGGGCGGTGGTGGCACAAACCTTTGATCCCAGCACTAGGGAGAGAGGCAGAGGCAGGTGGGTGTTGGTGAGTTTGAGGCCAGCCTGGTCTGCGATGGGAATCCCGGGACAGCCAGAGCTGTAACACAGAGAAACCCTGTCTAGAAAACAAACAAACACACACACAACAAATGTTAAAATAAGTCCTAAAGGACATGGGAATTATCACTGAAAAAAAATTGCTAGTTTAGAACAGTGGTTCTCGACCTTCCTAATGCTTCGGCCTTTTCATACAGTTCCACATGTCGTGGAGACTCCCCCTCTGCCCCCATAAAACCATTTTCGTTGCTACTCCATAATTGTAATTGCTATTGTTATGAACCGTGTAATGTAAATATTTGTGCTTTCTAATGGTCATAGGTTACCTGCATGAAAGGACCTTCTGTCCTCGAAGGGTTTCGAGGGGTTTCATGGTTCCTGTGAAAGGCCATAGAGATAGACATAAAATTACTTGAACACAGTACGTCCTATTCTGAGACATTTTCCTCAACTGGGATTTTATTAACCTAAGTTTTGTTGAATATGTATTTATGTATATATATTGGGGTGGGGACATGTTTTACAGACCAAGTTCGTCAAGATGTCCTCCGTCCCGAAGCACTTCGGACTGACAGCCCGAGAAGAATTGTACATGTTTAAAGAGCTTGAGAAGATTCGCCACCAGTTCAAAAAGGAAAGTCCCGAATTCAAGCAGAAGTCGGCTGCCAGGTCGGCTTTGGGTGCAAACTCTGAGGATGACCTCGAAGACTTCGAAGACCAGGACGAGGAGTCTCCCCAGCCCAGCGCCCAGAGGAAGCCTTCATCCTCTAGGGCGCAGAGTCCAGGGCGCCCCGCCGCGGCCGACCTGCAGGGGGCGCCGCCGAGCACGCGGCGCGGCCCGGTGAAGCCCCGGCCCTTCTGCCCGCGGGACTTCTACCTGCGGAGCTCGGCGTTCCTGCGCTACAGTCTCTGCGCAGAGCCACCGGCCATCGGCCCGCAGGCGGGCACCGCCCGGCCCGTGGTCCTGCTGCAGCCACGCTCGCGCCTCCCGAAGCCGCACGTCAAGATCCGGGGGGAGCCGGTGTCCCGGCGCGTGTTCGTCGTGAGCCCCGCGCAGGAAGCCCGGGGGCTCGAGGTGGTCCGCCCGCGGTACCGACTGGCCAGCTCCTTGTCCAGCCTGGGCAGCGAGGCCGACGAAAGCGGACGGCTGCAAAGGCTGAGGATCCACACCCACTTCCTGCGCGAGAGCATGGGCGCATCTCGGTGGCTCAGGCCCGGGTCCAGAGGCAGCCGTGAAGGGGGCTCTACGGGCCAGGCCACCTGGCCCCTGCCGGTGACACGCTTCATCCCCACCAGCATAGAGGAGATCATCGCCTCTCTGCAGTCTGAGGCCCAACTGGCCTCAGACCAGACCATCAAGGAGCTCATCCAGAGCATCCTGGGCCAGAACTACGACCTCTCTATGGAAGTAGGTGAACTAGACTAGTGCTTCTGGGTTATACATACTCCTAGGTTATACATGCTCCTAGGTTATACATACATGTCAAGCACACGTGTATACATTCCGGGCACTGGCCGTTTTACATGGTGGCATAAGGTGTCTAGTTGGGATATTGTCTCTCCCCCAGTTGCTTGGTGACCCCATTTAGATTCCTTTCATAGATTTATATATTGTAGGAAGCTTCTACAGTAGTAGGTTTCCATATGGCTTTTTCAAATGGCCATTAGTGTGGTTGTTCCTTCCTTCCTTTACCCTTCTCTACCATCCCCCTCACTGTATAATCTTCCCGTTTTAATTTTCTCTTGTCTCTCCACAATACTATATTCTATTCCACCCACAGTTCCTTTCTATGTACCCAACCTCTGTGCTTATTCAGATGGTAGCATGCATATTGAAAGCTTAAAAGCCAACATCTGTATATAAGAGAAAACGGGATTTGTTTTATCCTGGCTGGATTACCTCACTCAGGGTGATTCTTTTCTAGCTTCATCTGCTTATGGGCTAGTTTCATCTTTTTAACAGCTGAATAATATTCCACTGTGTGACTATACCACAATTTTCATTACCCATTTATCAGTTGATGAACTTATAGGTTGTTTCCAATTTCTGGCTATTATGAATAGAGCAGCAATGAACATGGGTGAGCAAGGGTTCCTGTAGTAGGATCTAGAATCCTTTGGATATATATATATATATATATATATATATATATATATATATATGAGTGGTAACTGGATCTTGAGGTAAATCTATTCCCAGCTTCATGAAGAATTGTCACACTGATTTCCATAGTGGCTGTACTAGTTTTTGCACTCCCACCAGCAATGAACAAGTGCTTTCCTTTTCCCACATCTGCCAGCATGAGCTGTCATTTGTTTTACTGATCTTGGTGTAAGTTGAAATCTCAAAGTACTTTTATATTTTGTTTTATTTTGAGATGATAATTTAATTAAAAATGTCTGCCTTTCCTCCCTCCAGCCCTCTCCCCACATATACTTCAAATTCATGTCCTCTTTTTTTACTAATTGTTATTGTACACATGCATATGTATTTGTACATAAACATATTCTTAAATATACTCTGTTGAGTCCATATAATGATAATTGTATGTATGTTTCCAGGGCTGACCTTTTGGCACTGGACAACTGATTGGTGTGCTCTTCCCTGCTGAGGACCACCTCTTCTGCTCTCAGCTTTACTCAGTGGCCTAGAGTTCTCTGTGCAGAGTTGAGTCCTCACAGGCTTCTCCCATGCAGTTTGGAATGTTCATTCCTCAACTTTGGGCAGTCCTGTTGTTGAGACATTGTGAGTACAGTGTCTGATATTACTAGGAGACACGATCTCACAGAAATTTCCCTGAACTTCTAGCCCTTACAGTGCTTTCTTTCCCTCTTCTACAATGTTTTGTGAACCTTAGATACTGGAGTGTTTTGAAAACGTATGCTTTGGGGCTGAAGTCCACGTCTCAGCATTTTGATTGGTTTTGGTTTCTGTTACAAAGAGAAGTTTCTTTGAATGGTGAAGACTACCCTTATCTGTGGGTATAAGGACTATGTTGGTTTAGCAAATTAGTGTTGTAGGTTCTCCTCCAATAACCATGACTAGTGTTGTTGGTTCTCCTCCAATGACCTTGATTTCACTAGCTAGGTTTCCAGTACCAGACATCATGGTGTCCTTCTTCTTCTTCTTCTTCTTCTTCTTCTTCTTCTTCTTCTTCTTCTTCTTCTTCTTCTTCTTCTTCTTCTTCTTCTTCTTCTTCTTCTTCTTCTTCTTCTTCTTCTTCTTCTTCTTCTTCTTCTTCTTCTTCTTCTTCTTCTTCTTCTTCTTCTTCTTCTTCTTCTTCTTCTTCGCAGATTTTAAGTCCAATTGGAGAGCTGTTGGTTATTGCATAGGTATGTGTGCCACTGTTGCAACAAGAGTTATCAAGCCATGCTGGTCTTCAATGTGATTCATGACGTCTTCAGAAATAAGGACTTAACCTTCCACCTGTGGTAACCAAGGGCAACAGCAATAGGTTGTATGTTTTGGGAATCTCTTAGCCCTGGCCATAAACTCAAAAAAAGAGGGCTCCTCATTTCTGGTATGAAGTTTTTGTTAGGTAGTCTTTCATTCTTGGAGGGGAGCAGTATCAGGTCAAATGAGAAAGGTTCATTAAAAGTAGATATGCATATTTATACACTGAACTACATGCATCATAGTTTTTAAGGGAAATACTTAATAGCATGCTTCCTTGTGGCCTTTTCAGATATCATTACTGTTATTTTACCCATCTCCCAGTTTTTTTCTGTATTTACCTCCCTCACCTTTCCTAAGGAGCCCCTTATTTTCCTATGTCCCTGATCTGATTGCTTGTACCCTGCTATTTTCCCCTCTCTACTGCTCCCAAGTCCTCTATATTGGTGTGATGGTTTGAATCAGAGTAGCCCCCATAAGGATCATAGTTTTGAATGCTTAGTCATCAGGGAATGGTATTACTTGAGAAGGATTAGGAGGTGTGGCCTTGTTGGAGGAAGTGTGTTATTGTGGAGGTAAGTTTTGAGCTTTCCTAAGCCCAAGCTATCACAAGGGCTTTCTCTTTTCTGCTGCCTATGGATCTGGATGTTGAACTCCCAGCTACTTCTTTTTTTTTTAAACAGATATTTCTGTGATCATGGTGTCTCTTTACAGCAATAGAAGAGTGATTAAGACAACTGGCACTGGACCTGTTTTACTTTCCTAGTTTCAGATTATGTGCATATATCTGAAGATTTGGAGTTAGGAGCCTCCAATAAGAGGCATGCTGAGTCTGGGTTACCTCACTCAATATGATTGTTTCTAGTTCCGTCCATTTACCTGCAAAGTTCATGATTTTATTTTTCTTCAAAGATGAATAATATTTCATAGTGTGCATATGTCTTTTTCTTTTATTGCTGTAGAACATTTAGGTTGTTTGCATTTCCTAGCTATTGTGAATGGAGCAACAAAGAACTTGACTGTCTTATTTAGGGCTTCTGTTGCTATGAAGAGAGACAACACAACCGTAGAAACTCTTATAAAGAAAAATATTTAATTGGAGGGGGTTGGCTTACGGTTTCAGAGGTTTAGTTTATTACTGTCATGGCAGGATACATGATGGCATGAAGGCAAACATGGTGCTGGAGGGGTGACTGAGAGTTCTGTGTCTGGATTGGCAGACAGCAGGAAGAGCAGTGAACCATGGGGCCTTACTTGAGCTTCTGAAACCTCAGTCCTAGCCCCAGTGATGTTCTGCTGCCACCAAGACCATGCCTCCTAATAGTGACATGTCCTATTGGCCTGTGGTGACTGTTTTCATTCAGACCACCACAATGGCTGAGCAAATATTTGTGAAGTGTGATGCCAAATCCTTTGGGCATATGGTGAAGACTATTCTAGCTGGGTCATATGGTAGATTTATTTTTAGCATTTTACTGATTTTCTGCACTGATTTCTGCAGTCACCGCACCAGTTTGCAATCTTACCAGCAGTGAACAGGGATTCCTTTTCCCTGAAATCTCTCCAGCATTTGTTGTCAGTTGTTCCTTTGATCTTTGCCATCCTGACTGGGTAAGACAGAGCCTCAAAGTTGTTTTGACTTGTATTTCCCTAATTGCTAGGGACAATGGGCATTTTCCCTTCTCTTACAAATTCATTGTTCAGGCTCCAGGATCACTTTTTTTCCAAATGAGTCATTTTTTAAAATTCTTTGCTTCTTGGAGTGCTTACCATATTTTGGATATTAATTCTCCATTAGAGGTATATCCTGTAAATATTCTATGCCAGTCCCAGGCTTCACTGCCACACATTGTTTCTTTAGCTCTGCAGAAGCCGTTTCATGAGGTCCCACCTGTCAATTGTAGCATTAATTCTTTCGTGAATGAAGTCCTTCCTAGTCAGGAAGTTCTTCCCTAGACCCCTGTCAGGTAGGGTACTGCCTATATTTTCTTCCTGAAGTTTCAGTGTTCTATGTGTAGGCCCTTGATACCTTGGAGTTAGTTTTTTGGACCACAATAGCTATGGGTCTAATTTCTTTCTTCTGCATGTGGATATCCAGTTTTACCAGTATGATTAGCTAAAGATGCTCCCCCAACATATGTTTTGGTATCTTTGTCAGATATAAAGCTATGAGTGCTTATGTTTAGGCCCACAATTTTGTTCCATTGGCCCACATGTCTGTTGCTAAGCTAAGTCCGCATTGTTTTTTTTATTACTATGGCTTCATAATATATCTAAGATCTCTAGCATTGTTCTTTTGCTCAGGGTTGTTTTTGTTTTTGCAATCCAGGGTTGTTTGTGGTTCTATATGGATTTTGGGATAGTTTTTTTTTCTGTTTCTGTGAAGAATGAGATGGAGATTTTGATTGGGGTTGCACTGAATCTGTAAATTGCTTTTTTATATAATGGCCATTTTAACTGTAAGCTTTAGCAAATGAACTTGGGTGTCTTCACATTTTCTTGTGTCTTTATCTCTTCAGAAGCTTAAATTTTTCATTGTGCAGATCCTTCATTTCCTTGGTTAGGTTTATTTCTGGGCATTTGCTTTTTATATGAGGCTGTTGTGATGGGAGTATGTTCATGATTTCCTTCTTTTGCTGTTGGTATATAAAAGATAAGGATTTGTGTGTGTTGATTCCCTATCCTGCCACAAGGTTGAATTTATTTATCATTTCTAGAAGTTCTCTGGTAGACTTTCTGGGGTTTTTAGTGTATAGGATCGTATTATTTGCAAAATGAGATAGTTTGAGTTATTCTGTCCTCATTTGTATCCCTTTAATTTCTGTCTCTTGCCTTATTGCTCCAGCTAGTACTTCAATAACAATATTGAAAAGGAGTGGAGATAGTGGAATTCTTGCCTCATTCCTGACTTCCATTGGATTGCTTCAAGCTTTTCTCCATTTAGGATGATGTTGGCTATGGGTTTCTTGTTTATTTTTATTATGTTGGCATATATTCACTCTAGCACTTCATTC